TAAATCGATAAATTTTTCACTGCAAAAATTTCCGGATCAAATTACGGTTAAATATACCAGTACCCAGAGTGCCGGTAATTTTTACTGTAAAATTTAACGGAACAAAAACCCTGGTATACCGTAATTTTTAGAGTAATATTTATTGTAAAATCATTGAATCACTGCAGTTTAATTATTACCGTAAAATATACGGTATAAAATTTTACGTTAAAAATTAAATTTACGGTAAAATCAATATTGCTTATGATGAGCCTAAGATACCAGTACTTCTTTCCGTAATTTGATCCCGAACTTTTTACTGTACAAGTGCCGGGTCGTGTGCTGGTGTTGTTGTTTTAGATAGATAATAAAGAGTAAGAAAGTGAGGTCCTTCGTCTATCTTCCCTTTAATCACACTAACAATTGAGAAATGGAGATGTAGTTAGTCAACAAATGAATGAGAAGCTAGTAGTAATTGCAATTACAAATTTTCTTAATCTTGTATGCAGACCATTACATAGTTTTTACTTCCTGGTGATCATACGTATGCTTATATGTACCTGCGTGAAATTTTATGTCTGATCCGCTCTCCATTTTTAAGGGTTGCATTGATTTTATCAACACACATGTTTGATTATGATAAAAGCATATGTCGAACAATTGCCGAAGACAGGCTCAAGATTGTACAGCAAACTAAACTCAGAGTTCTTTTTCCAGTATCAACAAAGAAACAATAAAAGCTGAACCATTTTTAAGGATTCCCTAGTTTATTTCAGTCTATTCGGTTTTAAACGAGCACCCTGGTTTATCGAACGAATTAACTAGGTTCCTATATTCTTATTATAACAGAGTTCAAGTGTATTCGATTTAATAGAGCAGGTACTGTTAATGCACATTTTATAGAGAACAAAAAACTAGTAACAGGATCAAAATAAGCATTTATTAATTTTTTTTTTCTCCATCGCATTCAATTGTTACTTCTATCACATTCTAATAAACTTCTAATACTTTCGTATTGATTAATAAGTTTATTTGGATGCATTTTCGCCAAATAAATACAATTGTTCTAAAATTAAATAATTACAACAAAATAAAATCTGAGCAGTTATATATCATTTTTTTTAACAAATATTCCCCTTTGAAACACATTTAAAACTATTACATCAGAAAAATTTTAAATTTTTTTCCTTTCGGCAACTAATTTTATTTAGTTTTATGTGCGGCGGGCGGGAAGTTTTCATTCTTACTTTTTTACTCATTGGCACTAATATAAAATTTTCAATTATAAATTTTTCAAAAAAATTTTTGCTTTCAAATAACAACTCTTTAAATATCAGAGAAGGAGAGTTATAGTTTTAAAGGAAGAATTGTATTTTATAAAAGAATTTGACAAATAATTTTGATTTTTGAAACGAAAAATTTTTTGCTTACTCTTTTTATGTTTCTTTGATTTTAATTAAACTTAAAATTAAATTAAATGTATTAAAAACGATGCACTATAACTTAGAAAGAAAGACATACATTAATGATTTGTGACAGTTAAAAAGACTTTTTTTTTAGTCAAAAAATCAGTTGTTATAAATTAAAGATCTAGGAACACAATCTTTATTTTTATTAGCGGAATTATTATTATAACTAATGAATTATTTATAACTAATAATTATAACTCTTGTTAAATGTTATTTCCCTTTACAAACTATATGTGCCCTCAAAAGCATCGATATATTAAATGAGTTATACTCCGTTTGTTTCTGTAGGTTTGGTGGGTATCCCGCAGTATTAAAACTACAATAACTGGAAAGTTGGAGGTGAATACAATTTTTTAATATTTATATCTGAAATATACATGGTTGAAAAACATGTATGTTAAATATATATCTTATTTCTCGCATTAATATTTAAAAAATAAGGTAATAAGAAACTTGCATTTTTTATACAGCAAATTGTTTTAATTAAATAGTGCTTTAGTTTTCTGCTTGAATCAGGAAAAAATGTCGAGTAAAAAAAAAAGTTCTTTAAAAGTTTTTTAATTTTTCTTAAGTTTCAGATGATTTTTTAAAAAATATTATTTTGACAATTTGAATTCATAATTTTAATTTTCGTGGTTATTTAAGATTCATGCTAAATTGAAATTTTGAAGCAGTTTATTTAATCCTACCCATTTTTTACCATTGAAACAGGTGAAATCTTTAATAAACGATGTGCTAATACCCAATTATTTAAGTTCTGTAGGTACGGCACCAGCTGTAAGACCATGAGTGGGATTTCGGTTTCCTTTTACATGGGAAAAATTAAGTGTGCGACCAGAGGCCTTAACCTGGAAATTTTCAGTTCTGAACGTGAATCTTTTGGATGTAAATAAAAGTAAAGTGGACAATAAGCATAAGCCTTATTGCAGGTAAAGATCATGCCCTTTTTTACATGCTCTGGGCATGTAAAAAACCCGATCACGTAAGTATTTTTTACCCTTCCGTACCCTAGCGGGCATGAAAATATTTTATCAGAAATACCGTAAAAAAACGCATTGTGCAAATTTGACGAAATTGCATAAGCTTTGACGAGAATCATTGAGGGATAGGCAGGGATGGGAAAAACGTCGTCAAAGGGGAATAAAAAAATTATTAAGAAAAAGTTTACTAGTAACTGCGCAAAAGAAAATAATTAATATAAAAACTTTTAACATTGTTTGAAAGATTCATGCACTTGCCGATAGTATTTAACTATTTTATACTTTGTTTTAATAATAATGGTCTGCATAAACACCATTAATGCGTAATAATTACTTAGTAAAAATTCTAAATCAAATTACGGTATAAAGTAACGGCACTTAGGATGCATAATCCCTAAAATCTATTTTTACTGTGTAATATTATGCTGCAGTTATATTATACAGTATAATATTTATTTAATTAGAGTGATTCAGTGATTTTGCGTAAGTATTGCAGTAAAAATTACGGTATATCAGATTTTTTGTACCGTAGCATGTTCCGGTAAAAATGGATTTAACTTTAAAGAGTATTGGAAATTCTGAGTGCCAGTAGTTTTTACCTTAATTTGATTTGGAATCTTTTACAGTGCACTTATAAAATCAAGCCTTTAAAACTATAGCTTTTAAAAATTAACCTGTTGTTCATTAATAAGAAAAGGTTAATATTAACTAATAATAAACAAAGATTTATTCAAGATATTTCCAATCTTTTAAGTTTAAAAAAAATTCTTTTTTTTCTCCTAAATGCTTTCCCATACCTTACTTTGAATTCGAAACATCTGACTGTCGTTAAAATTTCATTGTACCATTGAATAAGTCATGAAGTTTAGTCACACGGAGAAAAAAATTCTGGTAAAATTAACGTACCGTAATGACATTTCAGGTAAAGAAAAAGAAGCCANTTTCCTTTTACACGGGAAAAATTAAGTGTGCGACCAGAGGCCTTAACCCGGAAATTTTTAGTTCTGAACGTGAATCTTTTGGATGTAAATAAAAGTAAAGTGGACAATAAGCATAAGCCTTATTGCAGATAAAGACCATGGCCTTTTTTACATGCTCTGGGCATGTAAAAAACCCGATCACGTAAGTATTTTTTACCCTTCCGTACCCTAGCGGGCATGAAAATATTTCAACAGAGATACCGTAAAAGACACATTGTGCAAATTTGACGAAATTGCACAAACTTTGACGAGAATCATTGAGGGGTAGGCAGGGATGGAAAAAACGTCAACAAAGGGGAATAAAAAAATTATTTAGAAGAAGTTTACTAGTAACTGCGCAAAAGAAAATAATTAATATAAAAACTTAATACATTGTTTGAAAGATTCATGCACTTGCCGATAGTATTTAACGATTTTATATTTTGTTTTAATAAAAATGGTCTGCATAAGCACCATTAATGCGTAATAATTGATTAGTAAAAATTCTAAATCAAATTACGGTATAAAGTACCGGCACTTTAGAGTTATCATCCCTAAAATCTATTTTTACTGTATAATATAATAACTGTATGTATAACAGTTATATTATACAGTAATATTTATTTAATTCGAGTGATTTTACGTAAGTATTGCAGTAAAATTTACGGTATATCAGATTTTTTGTTCGTTCCGTAACATGTTCCGGGAAAAATGAATTTAACTTTAAAAAGTATTGGAAATTCGGAGTGCCAGTAGTTTTTACCTCAATTTGATCCGGAATCTTTTACAGTGCACTCATAAAATCAAGCCTTTAAAATTATAGCTTTAGAAAATTAACCTGTTGTTCTTTAATAAGAATAGGTTAATATTAACTAATAATAAAAAAAGATTTATTGAAGATATTTCTAATCTTTTAAGTTTAAAATAAATTTTTTTTCTAAATGCTTTCCTATACCTTAATTTGAATTCGAAACATCTTACTGTCGTTAAAATTTCATTGTACCATTGAATAAGCCATGAAGTTTAGTCACACGGACAAAAAAATTCTGGTAAAATTACCGTACTGTAATGACATTTCGGGTGAAGAAAAAGAATCCATACTATTTATTATTAAGTTAATGAAACCAAAATATATCTAGTATTAAAATTATTTATTTGGTAATTTTTTCGTACATATAGTATCGGTTTATCAGAATTTCTGATTTTCAAAATTATAGGTCTTATTACCACACATTTAGTAAAAAATACAAAACTGAAAAGTAAATTTAACCGAATAAATGGTTTTTACGCCATGCTCCAAGGTAGCATGATAAATTACAAAATTTTATTACTATTACTAAATTTATCTTTTATTATAAAATCATATTTTATTGTTCATTTCACCAAAGTCATTATCAAAGTGATTCAGTAAAAATAACTGGGCTGTTTGGTGTTCTCATAGAACCAGAAACAAGAATTTTATCATATTCTGCCAATACTTTTTTCCCCCTCTGTGTATAAATTAGCAGCATTAATTATATAATTAGAGTTAAAACTGTATTAATGTTAGTTGCTGCGAATTAAACAAAATAAAATTAAGATATCGATAGAGAAAAGTTTAAAGGTACACTTACGTAAAGCTGCATAGGCTGGAATGATTTCTGATGCCAACCACCGTGAATAAGAAGTGTCAGGACAAAAACTGCTGTAACACAACGCTGGAAGCGTCACATCAGACAAATCCAGTGCTCTTGGAACAGGACTTGTCCTAGGATTAGGACTACTACTAGGATTAGCATTCTTTACCTCAGGTAGTTCCAATATGTCTCTGACACTGAAACCACTAGGCTTTGTGGTAGCCGTCATCTTCATTTGTCCAGTTAACACAAAAACTTTTTTAACAAAAAGTTTTTCCCCCGAAATCAGCTAACAACAAGTTATTTTATTGTTATAAGCAATTAGGCGTTGATGTTGCACATAAATAAAGGCAGTAGAATTGAATTATAATGAACAACTATATTATAATTCTTTATGTTTCTTTCTGTATGTTATCCAAATGCATATCTTGGTTAGGTTTGAATTTGTTGAACACATATATAATAACGAGCGTTGATGACCTTGTTTTTCTTCAAAACGCATACAAATCTTGATCAACCTATTCTGTTTGAATTTAACTGCGTCTCTCTTTCATTTATTTAAAAACATGATCTTGAGATTGATTTTACCACCAGTTCTATATTCTGATGTTTTCGTACGAGCTTAATTTGAAATATTTAAAAAACATAATTATCCTTATTATTATTTATTTTCTAAAATTTTCATTTTTCACGATTTAACAATTTCAGCTGGTGAGATCTATCTCGCGATCACGTAAAAAAAAAAAATCCAGAATTTCTTCGATTTCAATCTATAAATTAGATGATCTAATCTAAATTCTGATCCCTTTTCTGCGATCCGAACAACGAAGAATCAACCAGCGATGAAGTCGGAACAAGTGGCCTCACTTTCTAATCGGCAAGTCAAAGTTCGGAATCAAACTCACGGAGACGAACTTCCCGCGCATAGGGGGTGTAGTCGATCCCAGCATTTGAACAAGCAGTTAGGACCACCCCCGCGAGGGGGGGTCGACGCGAGAGGGCGGTCTGCTTTCATTTTTCGTATTGGAAGGACACAAAAGAAACTGCCGGGAGGAGCGACTCTTTAACATTGTGTTATTATCGTGTTTTTCCGTTTTTCTTGCACTTTTTTGCAGTTGCGCCACCCCGTGTCCTTTTCTTTTCTTGTTTGTTTGTATATTTGATGGGCTTGTGGGGTGGTTTTAGAGGTGGCGAGTGATGCATCGAAAGAAAGGTGCACTGACAGGTTGTGAGGTTGATATGGGGATGGAATATTGAAGGAAGGGCAGGGTAAGTTTCGATTTTTGGGTGATGACATGAGAACATATTCGTAAGGGATTCTGCAGTTTATCTCGAGTTTTGCTTTCGATTTTTTTTTCTTTCTCTATTTCTGTCTAAGCAAAATCAACCGATATTGAACATATATTTAAACTTTTTCTTTTCTTTTGAAGAGTCAAAATAGGAGAGGGGATTTGTTTTTACTTCCATTCAGTGTTGTTCAAATAATTTCACTTCTTTGTTATTTTTAAAGAAATGAAATTTAAAATGAAGGAATGAACTTAAATATTACACTTGTAAATTATAGCCATTTTATAATGCAGAGTATATTATATTATAACTTACATATCAATTATGAAAAGTGAACATTATACACTTGCTGGTAAAATCTTTAATCCAAAAACATTAATCCGCATTCTTTCAGATTTTTATATTATAAATTAGTAAGACTAAGGTTTCTAAAAACATACCAATGAAATATATCGAATTTGCCTTTTTATATATTTTTTTCTTTTGCACCATTTTATAGCATTTTCGAAATTTACATGACACCTGCATTGATGCCATGTAAATGATCAAATCAAATATTACATAAGGACCTTTGATGAAATGGAGAGGAGGGTTAAAATCAATGCTTACATAAGACACTAAATTTCTTTCCTTTTTTAAAGTTTCTTTTAAAGTATACATATAAAAAAATGAAGCAAACAAATTCAGAAAAAACTTCGCTTGGAAAAAGTTATATAATTATTATCAACAAATATATTTCTTTAGATACTGATAAAGAAAGTCCTCATTTATTCTTCAAATTGGCAGCAAAGAATAAAAATATCAAGCGTGTGAGCTGTCATATGCATGAAAGCGTAAACGTGTATGTTTACATATTTTTTGAATAAAAATTCTTTTCGAGAGTGGGCACTGAATAGCTGAAACAAACCAAGCTATAAGTAGGGAAGAATTGAAAGGCCGAAAGTGAAGAGTTCATATCAACAAACAAAGTGTTCTATAATATGTTTTAATTAAACTTATGCAGGTTTAATAATATTGATTTTATTAATTGTTATTGTCATTATTCAAAAACGAGTGGTAGTCGGGCTGTTCGTGCTCGAGTTGTGCAAAAAGCATGCTCGACGAGCAGAAGAAGGTGCTGAAGGTATGAAAGATGTGACATTGCAAGACATGTAATCATACATGATTTAACTGTTGATGTTGAAGAACGTGACATCTGTTCCATGAACGAAATAATGAAGTTTATGCGCTGCTCATTTCTGTTCTGAAGGAAAAAAAAAATATCAACTCGAAGTATACGAAAGGTGTAGATTAGTAAAGAAGTATGCCATGAAATCAAGTTGCTGGACTCAGGAATTATTCCTGATATGCTAAAAATTTTTCTTTGTGAGATTTCAATCCAAGCAAGAAATTATAAATTATGTTTAGTTACTGCTAGTTTTTCAATTGCATATCATTTATTTCGATTTAACTTTTTAATAGTTAGGTTATTTGACAGCTTTACAGTGATTGCTCAAATTTTTGCAATCTATAATTGTGTTTTTAACAGATGTGTGTGTTTTTTTTTATAGTAACTGTTTTTTTGAAACCATAATTAATGGTTTGCAATTGTTTCTATCGAATGTTATTTATTTCAAATAAGAATTTTTTATTTCAATGACTTATTGACTAAAAATTTCACTTTTTTAGAGGGAAATTAGAAATTAGCTTTAAAGATTTTAGCAATTAACATAAATTCTTAAGGTTTTACGTTTGAACACTTTTCAAATGAGTTAAACTTAGTAGCGAGCGAACCAGTATAATTTGCAAAGCAGGCCATGTAAGATTGGATAGCAATCTTTGGGGGTTGGGGAGCGATAGCGAGCAGGGGGTGGAGTACACTAGTTTCTATTATTTTTAGTGAGACGTACCCACTTAGAAAATATATACCTGAAATTGAATATTCGTTGAATCTGTCAAGATATATGAGTTTTTCAGACATGTGATATCTTAACATTAAAATATTAATTTTCACTTATTAATTAAAAATTATTTTCATTCATTAATTAAAAAAATAATTTTCACTTTTCATGCCATGCTTTTTAGTATCATTATAAAATTATCATATCTCACCACATTTACCGAATTTTATCACATTATAAAACAATATTTTATTGTTAATTTTACCAAAATCATTTCCCAAAGCGCTTCGGTAAAAATTAACGAGTGAATTTGGTGCTCCCATAGAGCCAGAAACGCTGATTATTTTACCATATTCGGTAAATTGCATTTTGGCCGTACTTTTTTTCCTCAGTGCAGATTGTACTTGAAGTCGCCAACTTCAAAAGCTTTCATCCGTATTTCGAAAGACACTCCCAAGGGGTCGTGCTCGCTAGTCCTTGTTCAATAAAAAAGGCACGTGCAAAATGTAACGAACCAGGTGTATCACACCTGGTAAATTTATGTTTCTTTAAACATTCAAGTAGCCATAAAGTGCTAAAAATCTCTTTTAGCAACAATAGAATACTTCAATTCAAGTGGAGGGCAAATCACGAAGCGGAAAATTTGGCGAGTTTGAAAATTGACCTTGCGTTTTGAGCAACTAAGTCATAGAATTATTTAACCTCCAAGCTTAAAACTTTTTAGTGCTTAAATAAATTTTATATGTTATACTTTATTTATTGAAACTACTCCACATACAATTTATAATAAATTTACTTAACTTAAATTTAAATTTCAATAAATTGTTGATAATTAGCTGTGTTTCATATAAATTATTTCCTACTTTCATTTTTGATACTAATTATTAATTATTATTAACATTTTTGTAATATTTTTTAGTAGTCATTTTTTTTTGAATATTTGTTTGTGATTAATATTTTTACTTTTCAATTTTCAGCTTCTTAAAGGAAAAGGAAAGAATTTTCATTGAAATCTTTAGAAGAGAAGTGATTTTTGTAGTGTCACTAAAGGCCATTTCGTTATTATTATCATTTTATAACAAAAAATATAACAGAAATTTCCAGAAATTTTTTAAACTTTTTATAAAAAATAATAATAATTAGCTTTATGCATACATATTTTCCATTTAACAGCATTGTAATAAAAATATTTAGCGCAAAATATTTTTTCTTTTCTTTCTAGTGACTAACTTGTGAACCAATTTCAGAATTACCTAAAATTCTCAGATTCAAAATAAAAGATTTACAATCACTTGACACAATTTGTAATAAATTTGTTATACTCCTAAGAATTTTGCGTTATATTTCATTTTTTTTGGTAGTTTATTCCTTATTCAAAAAATAAAATAATCGTAGCGAAAAAAATCAACTTTTCCGTCCGAAAAAAAAAAAGAAAAAAGGCAGGCGTTTAACTTAAACGATATTGATAAAAGTTAGGAAGTTTTTTCTGGCAACAAGCAATAAATACTCAAATTTCTTTGATTCCAAACTAACTTTCCGGTGGTATTTCTTGTAAACCGCATTTTACAATTATCAACTACAATTTGCATTGTACAACAACTACGCAACATGCGAGAAACATTATACTTGAATGTATGGAGACGCCACAACAATTTCTTCAAATGTTTGAGAATTAGCGTTTCGATAAAAATCTCGTAATATCGTGACAAAATAATTGCAAAAGGAAAAAGAAAGAAAGAAACAGGGAAGACAGCTCAAAAATTGCTTTTTATTTATTTATTTATTTTCGTGAATTTTGCTTAAAGTTTTCTATACCGAAAAAATAGGCTTTTCAAATTTTTTATTTTTATCTTGTTGAACTGCTAAACTTATTGTTACAGAATAACTAAATACTAAATAAATCTAGTAAAATTACCGTACTATAACATCTAGCAAAAAGTAAGCCATAATTCTGGTTCTAAAAAGTCAAAATATACAGTATTTAAACCATTAATTTGGCAATTTTTCCGTTCGTATAGTAGTGAATTATCAAAAATTGTGGTTTCTGAGGTTATAGTTCTTATTGCCCCACATTCAGCAAAAACTGAAAAGTAAATTTATCCGAACAAATGGTTTTAATGCCAGGTTCAAAGATATAAAGATAAGATTATCAAATTTTACTACATTTGCCAAATTTTATCACATATTATGAAACCATAACCATATCATTATCATTTAATAAAAAGAAGGAAAAAAACCATCAATAATCCAACAAAGCATGTGTTGGAAACCTAGTCTCACCCAACAATGCATCGAAACTTCAAATTTTTTTTTGTTTCTTTTTAATGACAAAGGACTTCTTTTATTTGCTAAATGTCTTCAAAGTTTGTAATTACTTTGACTAAGATATTCCTGTGTCACAAATATGAAAGTTAAAGGGGATTAAGTAAAAAATTAATTAAATAGATAAAAACAAGGAGAAGAAGAAAATTAGAAAGAAATCAATTTTATTTGATACACACTCAAAAAAAAATTCTTTATTTACAAGTGAAAACTTAAATCATCTGAAAAGGTAATATTTATATTTATATATTAAGCGCCTCTCTGATTTTCTTCTTTGTTTCTTTTTTTTTCACTCTCTGCTACAGAATTTGGCTATTGATGGTGCCAACAGTCTAGAGCAGAGTAAAAAAGTGTCATTTTTTAATGATCTTTCAGTAACCCAATACGCTCATTACTGTGTAAGAAAATTCCTGATCAAATTGCGGCAAAAAGTACTGTGGCACCCTGAGTGCAACATACGTAAAATTTATTTTACTT